GCCCATATTGGTGGCTGTGAGTCACTTGATGTGGGTGCTGGGAATTGTGCTCTCCTAGAGTAACAGCAGTGCTCTTAACCCCTGAGCCAGCCCTCCAGCCCCCATAATCTTTCTTACTGCATCAAGATCACCCTACATATAAACTAGTCTGAGCTCTGAGTCCTCACACAGAGTATCTTCTTCTTTGCATGCTCTGGAAGGCAGAGTCAAGAGGGTCCTTTTAAATCAAGCTTGAAATCTTAAAAAAAAAAAAAGTTATTTCATTTATTTATCTTTGAACGTGCATGTGTGGGGATGTCACATTGGGTGCTGAGGTCGGGAGAGAACAATTTTTGGTAGCTGGTTCTCTCCTTCTACCATGTTGATCTGGGGACCCAACTTAGGCCTGGCAACCTACTAAGTCATTCTGCAGGCCAAGTTTGAAACCTTGTAGCTGAGATCTCAGGGAAAGAAAGCTTCAAATCAAAACAAAACCACAACAAAAACCATTGTCTTTTCATTGATAATAGGGTAATTGTTTTTTTTATAATAATCAGAACTTGTTCATGGAGAAATAGGGATACATTTGAAAAGGATTAGACCTAAGAACTCTTCTTTCTAGCTTGAACTAAGCCTATGAAAAACAAACTAAAACAGAACATCCCGGGCATTAGGACCCAGTGGAAGTGGCTTGTCCTGACTTTGGGTTAACTTCTCTCAGTGACGTAAGGAGCAGACCTAGCTCATTCTTCCCCGCAGGCCCCCCCTCCTCACTCCCTCTCTCTCTTGCTTGCTCCTTTTCTCCTCTTTCTCCTCCCCCTCCCTTCTCCCTTCCCTCCCTCTTTCCCTCCCTTCCTCTCTCCCTCTCCTTTCCCCCCTCCCCTTCTCCCTCCCTCTTTCTCCCTCCCTTTCCTTCACTCTCTTCTTTCTCTCTCTCAGCTCCGTAACAGTAAAGAAAAAATGCTGCTATCAGTGACTTCCAGGCCTGGGATTTCGACTTTTGGCTATAACAAGAACAACAAGAAGGTAGGAAAAAGTGCTTTTGGTGAATCCAGCTACTTCCTCTCCTAGGGATCCCGGAGCGCCCTTGGTTTTAGAATTCTCCTTTAAGAGGGGAACTAGATTCCTCTCTTCCCCCTTCAGCGCCTCTCCTTCCACCGCGTCTTCCCTGCTCTTTTGCACCTGGTTCTGGAGTTAAAGGAATTTAGAGCAGAGGTTTGTGAGGCTGGAGGAGGCAGCGGAATAAAAACAACCAACTTTGCAAGTTTGTATCTTCTGAAAGGAAGTTAGTCTGACTGTCTGCTGCTGCACCAATGGTCCTGGGGATAGTCTGACAACTCAGACCTTGTCCCTAGGCTTACTTCCCGCAAGATTATTTTATCATTTTTGGTTAATTGCATCCACCTTTACCCCCGCCTCAGTTCGCTTTTTTAACTCAACCCACCAGATAGCTGAAATTACAGGTAATCTTAGAGGTCTCAAAGCTTAAAGTATTAAGTGTGTGCTTCTAGAGGAGAGACCCTACCCCACCCCACCCATCCTGGCAGAGGAATTTGGGGAGATAACATGCTTTGGGATTAAGGCAGAAAGCTCTGTGATTCTTTGGGTCATGCCTTTTGAGAGGATACTTGGAACCCTGCAGATAGCCAGGCTTAGCAAGGATCCCTGGAGTCTTTATGATTAACCCCTGGCTGCCTGAGGAGTTAAGGTCTGGTTGAGTGAATGAATAGCCTGGAGAGAGATGGACAGGCTTGCCCACATTTGCCAGAGAGTATCCTTGATAGTTTCTTGGCATTTTGTGGTATGCGATGCTGGGGGAGGAGCTTTGAGCCATAGCAGGAAGACTCTGAGCATTACAGCTGTTCTTTAAGGAAACACGTGGTGTAGAGAGATCTATGCTTGTTTTATGGAATGTTGGAGGTGGGGAAAGATTCATATCCTTATGGACCTGAAAAGACCATTTCAGAGACTCGAACACTAGTATCTCATCAGGGCAGTACCCCAGTGGATTTATTTTATGTGGCTTTCACTCTGTTTATATGCTTAAGAAATAAAGCTCTACAGCCAGGTGGTGGTGCAAGCCTTTAATCCTAGTACTCAGAAAGCAGAGGCAGTCCCTGATCACTAAGTTCAACAGCAGCCTGGTCTACGAAGCAAGTTCCAGGACAGCCAGAGCTACAGAGAGAATCCGTGTCTCAAAAAACAAACAAAAACAAAAAAAAGAAATGAAGCTCTATGCATATTTTTGATTTTACACACACACACAC